GTATTTGATGAACACATGGCTTGAGCAGTTTTCAGTGAATTATTGTAGAGGTGGGACCTACAATACCTCTGCAATAGAAACGTGGCCCCTTTCAAACACGCAGCAGCTGTTAGTTTCTTATTGCATGTCCTCCATGGTCCTGTCCTTAGTTGGAGGGGATACATGGTGAGGTTTCCCTTCTTTGTGTAGGAGTGACTGGTGAGTTGCAGTCAGGAATGTTGTGTCCTCAGCTTTGGAGGAACCACTAGACACTAAATGTATCCTTTGGCATCTTTAAAAGTTATAAAAGCTGATATTTTTCACAGTTTAATTGCTGCATTACCAGCTTCTGAGTGGGTTTTTTTGACGGCACTGTCTCATTCCTTAACAATATTCACTTTGATAGTCCACCAAGGTTTCTTACCACTCATAATGGTGTTGGGTAGAAAGAAAAGCAAAACTATTAGTCTGAGTCTTGTAGAGAGAGAATCTGGCAGGAGTCTGAGCTGCCTCTCTTGCTATGGTGTTGGAGATACGAGTTATCTGACTCTTGAAACCTGATAGCTCTTTGCTTTCTGACCCAGGATTTCACTGGAAGACCTTTGCTGAAGGAAGCATTTTTATTCCTGCCAAATCTTTCATTCAGGAAGCATAGTCAGAATGAACGTGCTGTCTGGCTGTTGCTCTGTCCTTAAATTTGCCTAAAGCAGTGTGTCAGAGTTTAGACAACGGCCTTTCCCAAAGCTTCTGAAGGAAGCAGATTTTTTTTCCCCCAAGAAGTAGAGGCCCGCAGAAATAGAATTGTCAGCCTGGGGGCAGAAGTGTTCATAACCTTTCATGGCCTTTGTAAGCCCATGTGCACATTCTGTGTGTTTTTCCTTGCATTGAGGGGTTTTCTTGCATTTATTTTGCAAGCTAATGTGAAGATGAGCAGGTATGCTCTGTACCTATTCAAGATATTCATTGTATATCCAAGGATATTCAAGAGTATGTTCAAGATAGATGTTAAAAGCTTTCTCAAGAGGAGTTAGAACTTGATAAAATAGCAAGAAACCTTGCAATGTCTTGGTGTAAGGGTCTAAAACCTCTGCCTTAGGGTGATGAGGTAAAAAATATAATGCTGTGCACTACAGTGCACTGCAAATTAAGGTCTGTTTCTGACACAGAAAATGGGAGGGGAAAAACTTGGGTTACCATAGTACAGGTTGTGAATTAAATAACCTACTTACTGGTCAGGATGCTGAGGCTCCAGGTACAGTGAGTCTTTCCTGCATAGAGATTCTTGAAATTTTATGCAACGGCATAATCCCTGGGATTCCCTGTAGACTAAAACACACTAATGACTCAAAGGGAAAAATATGTATTTTAGTTAAACATAATCAGTGATCTGGTTTTTATTGCTGGTTTAATAAGGCCTCCTGGTGGAACCAGTGCTTTCACCAAAAAAGCAAATAGAAACTACATAAATGAAACAAGCTGTTCACATTTTTAAAAGGAGGCCCAGCCATTTGCTGTAGGTGTAGCAGTCAAAGATTCAGAAAGCTTTGAAAAACTGTATGTTAATTTTGGAAATGTTCTCCTTTTGTTCCTGTATATGTCACTGTACTTGAAGGTAAGAATGTTTCTGATTCTCCCTCCTTCTACTCCTTCTTTACTTCCCTGCCCACACACAAGGGTTGAACCAACTTTTCTTCACAGTTTAATTAGTTTAGCGTTGTGTGTGAATTCAGGAATCATGCCTCACATTCCCTGTGGTGGCCAGGGGCCTGTGACCACCATTGTTCTGACTTCGAGTAGCTGCTGCTTGGGCCTCAGCAACAGCTTGAGCACTTTTTTTCTGCTAGTCTGCTGCAGCTGTCAAGTAAAAAGTTCATGCACACTTTATGGGTATGAAAAATGAAATTATATTAAAATATATGAAATGTTAGAGACTTAGAGACTTCATATTAAATGTGAAGGGATGAGATATGTAATCTTGATTGCTGAGTAATCATTCTCCTAGTAGCATGCTCAAAATCGGTCTGGAAAAAGTTCATTTCTACTGTTATTTTACAATCTGAGCCTCAAAATCATTGCTTGTTGTGCTACTCTAGAAGAGGAAATGAAAAGTCTCCCTGAAATTATTAATTCATCAAGCCACCTTCCTGCAAGGCAGTGCCTCCTGCCGGAGCTGTCTCTGGACACATAATCCTGTGACCATCTCAGCTTTTTTTGGGGGAGGCCTCTGAGCACTTTGTCACAGCAGAAGCCTGTATCCTTTTGTAGTACATTTTGATTCTGTGCAGAGATAATTTCCTCATTTTGAGAAGTGCTTCATTTATTTTCAGGATTATCTTGCCCCATGCATTCACTCTTCCACAAATGGCAAAAGCTCCAACTGGCATAAGGATGAAATTTTCTTTAGAAGCTGAAGCTTCTGATTTGAAATCTTCTGGTGCTCATTTGGAACAGTGGGTCACCTTTCCTTTTGAGCCCCCCCATTTTCATATATTTGAGCACTCCCCCCCCGCCCCCGCCATGTGTTGGCTTGAATCTCATTTTTATTAATCTACAGTTCTGTAAAAGAAAATCTTTGGGAGAAGTTGTTGGGATTTGCTAGTGGAGCTGCTAAGAGAATTTATTAATTAGAAAGCAAGTAGAATATTCCCATATGCTGTAGTATCTCACAAGGAGGCATCTTCTTGATATACATGTGTTAGGTTGCCTTTCTGGTGGTATGAAAATACTTGTCCAAAATGTATTCAGAGGTTCCTGAGGTTAATCCAGGAACTATGGAATTACTGGGAGCTGTGTTCTCATGTACCTTTATGAGGAAACCAGTAATGCAAAGAAGTAAAAGTTATCTATTGTGGAACTATATTTAATGACAGTTTGTACTCCTTAGGTAAAACTTGACAAGTACTTGTTAATTGTAATTTGATTTATTTCCCTGTATCTATCTATCTATCTATCTATCTATCTATCTATCTATCTATCTATCTATCTATCTATCTATCTACTATCTCCCTGTATCTATCTATAGGTGCAGAGATACAATTGCTTAAACTGTTCCTCGGAGGTTTTTTGTTTTCTCATCACATCACATTTCAAAATCTCAAACTGAATAGTCTACAATTTGAATTGCTCTTAAAATTTATTAGTGTTGGTACTTATTATCAACAGATATTATCTGTTAGCAGACTGCAATCATCCTTATGTAGATCTTTCTCATTTACAGCTACATGTGAGAAGAATGCATGAGAGTTTCTGTATCACCTGTTGTTCGTTGATTGTTGAGAAGTCAATATTCTCAAGCATGTGCAAGTAATTGTATCATATAGGACACAAAATAATTCTAACATGATAAAGAATATACAAATGCCTTTCCACAAATTCGTGCTGATGCCTTCTTTGTACTTTCATGGCAAAAGTTGATCGTGTTCAATCTTCTTTTTATCAGAAGCACCACATTGCCTATAACAATTTTTGTAGTATTTGCATTAATTCTGCAACTCTATAGCAGTAGAGCAGCTACTGTAGTGGTGCTCATACTTGCAGAAGCTTGAAATCACTGAAAATCAGTAGTGTAAGATATGTGCTTGAGAAGTCATGTCTTTCAAGTGTTAGCAAAGTCCCAACAACAGAAGTTCACGCTTAATAGACAACATCTAACTCTGTCCTGTGCTTAGGACTGCAAGTCCTGCAGGCATCCTGCAGCACCCGAGTTACTGGGGCAGCAATAATCCCTGTGTATCACAAACATGCAGTTAGACCAAGTTGTATCAAACAGTGCCTTTCACCGTGGTATTCACAAGTAACTTAGGCATGTGGTTTTTCTAACTTTGTATTTGTATTAAAAGGAAATGGTTTAGAAGCCTACTGTGGTAAAAGGCTGTGGTCTAACTGTCCTCAGCTAATCACCCATTCTCATCACAGTCCACCTCCTCTGAACCAGTTGTGACTGGTTCAGTTTGTAGGGTTTTTCCACTACATAACCAAACCTTCCTGTAAACAAACACCCCAACACCCATAAACCTTCAAATCTACTTTTCCTCTTATTTGAGCTAAATAAATAAGAATTAAGATATTAGTGGGAGCAGTGTGTATTTGTATAAAAAACTTCAGGGATATGTGAGCTGTTGGAAGGTGTAAAACCTTCAACCAAGCATTTGAAAAATGCCAGAAACCAAGAGGTGATGGTTTAGGGTCGCATAAAGGCAGGGGGTTTGCTGTGTTTTCTCTCTTTTTCTGAACTGCAGGGACAATATCTTTCAGTTTTATGTAGGAGACACAAAGAGTAGATTTGGGGATCATAAAGTGAGAGATCTTTAATGCACTCAAGCATTTGTCTAGCAGAGATAGAGGAGACCCATATAATATCCAGGTAAAAACCATGATGCTACTCAAATCTACAGTTACTGTGTTCCAAAAATACCTTTGTGGCTGTTTTGTTTCACCTTGATTGGACCCAAACTTTAACAAATAATAGCATGGGATCCCAGATATTTCTCAAACAGAGTTTGACTGTAGACTAGAGATCACATCTTTCTTCACACTGAAGAGTAACATGACTTTGAAGGCAGTATTTAGTTGCTTTGGCTTCAATATGCACATTCTAACATCTTGTAATGTATGACATTAGGAAAATGGCTGTGGCTGTTAGAACTCAGCCTTGTATATTTTCCTTCCCTTAGGATAGCATGAGCCCTAGAAGGCAGTCCTGTTATAACAACATTTCCCCTTGGCTTGGTTTAGCTGTTTTGCAAAGCTTAGCTTTCTGTTTTATAGCAGAAAAGATGTAACAAACTAGTATTTATTGTTCTATATAAAAGTGTTTCTATTAACACTTTGAAAAGCAGAAAAGTGATGTTTTGAGGACCTTTGATTACCTGAGAAATTTATATCAGCAGAGATACTAATCAGGTTTTCTAGACATCTTTGTACAGGCTGTGGAAATGCTGGAGAACAAACACATGCTTCATAAAGACAGCTGGAGGAAAGCTTTTATTGCCACCATCATTACAGACACAGTAAATGTAAATGCTATAGGGGCATATCTCCAAAACCTAGGGCAGAGTTTTGCCCAAAACCAAGCAAGTGATTTATCCCAATACGTCCACTTCCTACTTCTACGCATAAATTTGAAAGGAATTGATTTGTGGAACTGGGAGATTAAGGGTTCAAAGTATCTGAGAATTTTTCTCCCTTTGTGAATATATTTTATCAGAGCTTCACATTTGCAGTTTTGCTCAGTTTTAAAAGGTGTCCTTAAATAAGGTGATGTTCAAGACCATTGTGATTGTTTTCTTTTTTATTAAATTACAATGTGCAGATTTTCAGACCATGTCACAGTGCTGGTGGATTTCTTCAATTTCTGCACATGTACACTTTAGAATCTCTTTTATTCTCATCTGATTTCTTAATTCAAAATTCTTTTGTTCACTTTTAAAAATTTTGTCTAATTGTCTCTTAAAGCACACCACTTCAGAATAATTAATTCCAGATTTGTTGGATACATGAGAGTTGCAACAAATCACTAAAAGTAAAAATGAACCAAACCTGTGAATTTCCTGTACAGGAATGCTCCTAACAAAGCTTTAAATGCAGTGACAAAACACATCTGTACTTTATATGTCAAAAGCCCTGTTATACCCCTAAGCTTCTGGATGCATATCCACTTTTGACATGGCTACCTTCTTCATTTTGCAATACAGACTTGGATTAAAATGCATTATTCCTATTGCCTATCTTTATTCAATATTCAGAAAAAAATTAGGAAAACTAGCCTGATATAAAAACACTAGCAGTAAAGCAAAATGAGCCCTTATGCACTAATACCAGAATATTATTTTGGATTTTTTTTTTTTTTCTGTTCCAACACCAAGAGCAGGGGAGTCTATATGGATAAGCACACGGCAAAGTAAATTGAAGATCAATTTGTACCCCTTTCTCAAAACAGCATTTATGCTTTCTTTCCTTGGTGCTTGGTTGAAGCCCACACTCTGTAGATGAAGAAGAGTATGATAAGATAGTACATGGAGCTCTTCAGAAGAAGGATGATATATATTAAATATGCTGTCCTGTGCATTAACTGATCTGTAACAAATATAAGACAGAAAAGTCTCATTTAATGTCAACATTGTATAGCATCCTAAAAAATGGGACAATGTAGTCAGTTTACTGCTGCAATTACATTGACACCAGAGTACAGCATAAACACGTACAAGATCTGTTCTGCTCTTTAAGTGGGTTTGCACCTCTAATGAGTTCTAGACCTAGTGGGTTTCTTAGCACTAAACTGACTCTCAGTGTCACTGGGTTATTATTCCTTGTAAAGACAAGAGCATAACTGTAGTGCTTCCACCACTTAGTACGATGTTTGTTTAAATCCTTTTGTGTTGTATTTAATGTATTTCTCTTTGCTCATGATTCTTTCTAAATACCATTCAAGACAAAAAAAATTTCTTTGCCCAGAGTTCTGGGCAATTGCTAGGCTGATGTAGCATCAGCAGAAATGTTTAACTACTCCGAGTGTTTAAAAAAGTGGGGCTTAACGCAGGCTAATAATCTAGTAGCCCAAACAGCATCTGTAACATCTTAATGAAGCTACCTGTAAAGGCAGGAGAGCCCCTTATAAGAAGCTAGTTCTGAGTAGTGATGAAAGGTTTTTGAGTTGCCAACCCCAGACTTGAAAGATTTCCTGTATACTGCTAAGAAAGATAATTTTTGGATCGTTCAGATCTTATGTAGCTATATCTAACTCTTGCATGACATGCATCACTTTCCCACATTTTAACACATTAAATTACCTCTATTGAAAACTGTTCTGCAGTCCTCTTCCTGAGGAGCAGTCTTCACAGAATCGACTGGAAAGAGAGTTTAAATGCCCCAGTTAGGTTTTTCTTTAATTTTAACAAACATGAATTGAGAAATAGGGGAAAAAAGAGGCTGGACACAAACAAGGCTGGGAAAATGCCCCAGTTAGTATTAAATAAAAAACAGGAGCCTTAAGATTAGTCTGCAAAGCAGATATTCACAAGTAGAATTCATTTGAAGAGAGAATTGGAAGAGGAGAAATGCTTGAAGAAGTGTCTGGGTATTGGTTGCCATAAGTGGGAGATGTGTCTTTGCCCTTTCAGGAATGTGTCTGTTAGGCTGTTCCTGCGCAAAGTTTTTTATTTGGAAGAGTAGTCAGTTTGAGCACCTGACCTTGTCAGTGAAGTAGCTGAAGTCCATTTGCCTTCACAACCTACTGTTATCAGAAATGCAGAATAATTTATATTGGAAGAGACTTCAGTTAATATGCTAATATGTTAGTGGTTGTTCAACAACAAAGCATAATAATGAGGAGTGTTTGATCTTAACTTTCCCTACTGGGAACCTTGGTGCTGCTTTTTTTTCTAAAATACATCCTTTTTGTTCTTGAAGTAGCAAATTTGAGTTTGTTCTTGTTTATGTTGTTTGTATGCATTGATACAAATATTAAGGACGTTTATATTGCATCTCTAAATACATCCTCCATATAAATAAAATATATTTGGAAGGTTGAAACATAATTGTTGTTTGTGGCCATGAGCTCACTCATTGGAGTTAAGTTAATTTATAGTAAGCTAAGCAGAGGTAAGTATGGAGAGAAGATTAATCTAAACCAATTTAGACAACTTTTCTTATAGATGATTTAAACAATTTGCATTGAGTATAAGCTACTTTTTCTTTAAAGTTGCATTGTCTTTCAGATTTGGCTTTCAACAATCAGAATCAATCTTTCCACAATTAAAAACAAAACCTTATCTTTATACATGGCTATTAACTTTTATTAACTTATTATTTCTGGATAGTGGGTAAGTAATATTTTTAAACTTGCTCTACATCCTCAGTTATCTCATTTTTAACTCCTTAGATTTTTATAGCTGTGATAATGTCAAGGGGTGTCAGAAGGACTTTCACCTGTAAGATATGAGAAATAATGCTGTTTCCAGAAACTTCTGTAAGATGGAAAGGAACAGACATGTTTCAGTGCAGATCTGTTGGAACTGTGCTAGTTTACACCTGATGAGATTCATTACTTTAAAATAACTATTATTTTTCTGTAAAGCAATTTTTTCTATAAACAATGGGATGCTTATTTGGGGACCATAACAGGCTGAGTTACTTTTCCTGGTAAAACTTTGGGTAGTTTCACCAGTTGTGTACTTTAGCTATTGTGCCTAGGAGCACAGATGTTTTCATCAGTAATAGAAAGCATTATTACTCTAATTTTATTGTAAAGAAAAATTAGGTTTATAATAGTACATCCAATTACATTTTTAACATGTGGAATATACCTTGTGTTGACAGTGAAGCCTTTTCCTTTTCATGCTCATATTTGCAGTAGTATTTCTTGTCCTCATTCTCTGCTGGCACAGTTAACCAACTGGCAATTGAGTATTCATCCTCTTTTCTGGACAGCCAAGTGTCTCCTTTTACTACGTTGTCTGTTACCTCCTTTTTGTCTTCAGTCCATGTCACCCTAATAACTTCTGGGTAGAATTTCTCAATAAGGCAAACATAGGTTATCTGATTTTCATGTTTTTTCTGCAGGATTTCAGAGTTTGCTGGGGGAGAACTTCCTTTTTCTGGATGGGTTATTGGAGGGAGAAAATTAACAAAACAGAGAACTGGAAGATCAGTAGTGTACAGCAAATAAATACACAGCCAAGAATACAAATTCTAAAGAGCAACATAATAAAAGCCTTATTAACAAATATTAATACACTTGTAACAAATGTAAATGCTCTTTTGAGAAACATTAAGAAAGTGAAATACTGTTGAATATACCAATAGCTGTTAATCTCACTTGAAACTGAGTTAGAAACCTTAAGGTGGCTATATCCCACAACCTTCCAAGCAGTACTGCTGTCAGAAAGTGTATTTACCCATTCAAGTCTCTGACAATTATTAAATAATTGTAATATTTCCTGAACTCCATTTATTCAATAAGAGGAATTTAATATTGCTCTACAGTATTTATGCAAAAACAAGTACATTAAATTTTGTCCACAGAATATTAAGCATAGACCACTTACCTTTAAAATCCTAGCAATCTTATGTCCCCAGTATAAGTCCCCACTGTTACATAATTAACATCAGCTATATCTATTAATTTTTTAAAAGCCAATATTAATTTTATGATATTTTTAGGGGGTGAGGGAAGGGAAGACAACAATGACTGCTCTGTTTTTAAGGCATTCCATGTATTTGCCAGGTGAAGATTTTTATCAAGACAGGAAAATGGAATCACAAAATGCCCTAGACACCAAAGGTTGGCAGTGCCATTCAGCCATACTAGATCTGTTTAAATGATTGAATTATTGCATCTGGAAATGAAAAACCAAAGCTAAACTAAAGCAGAAGAACATGCTATAGCTGGATAACATTTTCACATCTAAACAGCATATCTAGCCAGAGTTGTCTGCACAGGCGTTGTGCTTTGGGAACTATGCTCAGTATGAATATACATGTATATATTTTAAATTTAAAGTGAGCTGTTTCCACGAGCTTATTTGACATAATCTCCATTTCATTTGCCTCTCTGGATTATGCCTGGATGCTCTCTGGATTAGGAGGAGACAAAATCATCTAGATTCTGTCCACATTGAGATAGGTTTTGATATTATTTAAGTGGATAGTAAATTTAAGGGTCCGATTTAGGTAAATGTGAGCTTCTGCAGTGCTCACAGGCAATCATTTCTGTCCATGCTTAACTGCAAGTGAAGGCTGAATACAGTTTTCAAAACTGACTTTTGTTACATAGAAAGTACTGCTTAAGAGTATTGTTTTAAGGCAGCAGAGAACTTTTAGGTGTTCCCTTATCCCACTTTTTCTCTTGAATTTCTATATAAATCTCTGCCGCTGAATTTGAGCAAGTAGATGCATGGGGTTTAAGTTTTCGTCTGACTGGTACCGTTTTAATGCATTGGGAGAAAATACATTACTATAAAACTCATTTTTGCCAAAAAGCTTCCACTTTTCTTTAAATGATCTGGCTGTTCTAGAGAAATCTTCTACATTGCGTTCTCCCTGAAACAACTTACTGATTCTTTGAAGTATTTCAAACTTGGTCCTTAAAGAGAAAGATGACCTGTCTACCTTCCTTATATTAAGAGTTTCCTTCATTTTAGAGAGGTCATTAAAATGACAATTTGGACTGAGTTCTGTTGTATCAGAAATAAAGTTTCTGACAACTTTATAGCTCCTTAACATTAATTTAGGTGTTAATTTTATCTTCTGTATGCATCAGTCCTCCCAAGGATTGAAGATTAGAGCAATTTCTAAAATTATCTATTTGTTGGTATATGTTCACAAGACCATGAAGTAGCTCTTGGCCCAGCGTATTCTGCAAAGCTTCATGACTATTTTAGAGGTTTCTATTAGATTTTCTAAGTTTAGTAAGTTGCTCTAATTTCAGTACATTTAATTGCTTAGTTTGACATTCTATCAGGATATCAAATCTAAGTGGAGAGGCAAGAGAGATTCTTCTAACTGCTAGCTCATCCTACTCATTTTAGAGACTTTGGTTATGACGGAATGATTTCCACCTCTGGAATTGCCAACATCATTTCATTTATTGCACCCTAGGTGTGTAGCTTACATGAAACACCTAAATCATACCAAAATACTGAGGGAACACTTTGCTTGAATAATTGCTGCTGTCTTCAGGCCTTGAAGCGTCTCATGTACATATACGGGCAAATGGATGACAGTGGAGAATTGAAAAGAGTTAAGTTTTTCATCTATCTATCTATCTATCTATCTATCTATCTATCTATCTATCTATCTATTTTTACTTGACAAAAAGTATCTTTGTATGCATGTTTCTGAAAAAAAAGTATGAAAACTTGTAGAATCGGTTGTAAGTTTTGATGTATTTTCAGGCTGTTCCGCAAAATCTTTGAAGTCAGTAAGACAGTTTGCACTGGCTTTTCTGGGTAAATTATCTGGTTCTTTCTAAAGAATTGAAGTAATGAACTTGAACTCCTCTGTCAGTTTTGATTCGGCTAAACATTGAAAACTGTTGTGGTTTACCTTGTTAAACAGTTTTCTAAGGCAGAGGTATATTAAGATGTATATAGGTCTTACTTTTTCATGTAAAATATAGGTATGAGCAGATATTTCTTAAGGTAAGATTTGTCTTTTCTCTCATGTAACAATGCAGAGAGGCTGTAAAACATTGTTCAAACAAAATCCTGGAGTTAGGTTCATTACCAATGAGCTATTAAAAAATTAAGTTCAAAATATATGTTTAGATAGATTAGCTGTCAAAAGTTTTCCTTAATTAAACTCCCCCACAGTTTCTTTATAAGTATCTATAAATAAGATTTATAAATAAGGTCACTGTGTTTTTAAACTGAAATTTTAGTTCTCACTACTTGGATGATCCCACAAAATGGAGTTATTTTGTACTGACACTCAAAGCTCCTCTGTCGCACTTTAAGCCAGTGGGACTGGAGGGCACTCAGCGCACCCAGCTCATAAACAGGATTCTTGTCCTGCTTGACAGCAGGCCTGATTATAACTGATAACAATATAGTATAGTCTTGGCCTATGGTGAGCCTTTCCAAATACCTTAAAGAGCTGTCAGCCTTCTTCCCAAAGCTTTCCCATTACAAAACTTTTAAAAACGTAAGACTGTGAAAAAACTTACCAGAGACAATGAGCTTTGTGCCAGAACCAAACACTACATACATCTGCACTCTGGTACAGTCCTTTACAGAAACTGCGGTCTGAAGGACGGGATGACTTACAAAGGTACCTGGACAAGCTCAAGAATTGGGCCCATGGGAACTTCATGAGGTTTAACAAGACCAAGTACCAGGTATTGCACCTGTGTTGGGACAACCCCCAGTACTGACAGGCTGGGGGATGAACAGATGGAGAGCAGCCCTGGGGAGAAGGACCTGGGGGTGCTGGTGTTTGGGAGGCTGGACATGACCCAGCCATGGGCACTCCCAGCCCAGAGAGACAAATGTGTCCTGGGCTGCACCAAAAACATGACCAGAAGAGCAAGGGAGGGGATTCTGCACCTCTACTTTTCTCTGATGAGACCGCACCTGCAGTGCTGAGTCCACCTCTGGGGTCCCCAGCACAGGACAGATATTGACCTGTTAGAGCAAGTCCAGAGCCAACACATTGATCAGACCTCTCCTATGAGGAAAGGCTGAGAGAACTGATATTGTTCAGCCTGGAGAAGAGAAGGCTTTGGGATTGCCTAATTGCTTCCTTCCAGTACCTGAAGGGAGCCTACAAGAGAGGTGGAGACACTTTTTTACAAGAGCATGTAGTGACAGGACAAGCGGGAATGGCTTCACACTGAGAGTAGGGTTATTCTAGATCTTAGGAAGAAATTCTTTACTGTGAGGGTGGTGAGCTACTGTAACAGAGAGTTCAGAAAAATCGTGAATGCCCCATCCCTGGACGTGTTTAAGGCCAGGTTGGATGGAGCTCTGAGCAGCCTCACCTAGTGGAAAGTGTCCAGCACTGGAGTTTAAACTAGCTGATCTTTAAGGCCTCTTTCAACCTAAGCCATTCTATGATTATACGATTTTGGCCAGAAAAGTACCAGATTCAACAACTATATTATGAACAATAAGATTCTCTTGATTTGGCTTCTTGAAAGTAAAATATTTGGATTCAATCTCAGTTAATGCTTCTATTCACAAAGACCCTTATCCTAAGTCCTGGTTTTCTCCATTTCTTAATGATTTTAAGTTCTTAAATGTGAAGTAACTACAGCCCTTTTACTCTAGTAATGGGTCAAAAGCCTTGGCCTCATAAAGACAAAATCCTACAGAATTAGATTTATGCTTGAAAAGAATTTATTTTAAACTGTATGTAGGAAAAGCATGGCAATTACCCAGTTAGGTAGGTAAGGATTTTCACTAAAAACAACATGCTTATCATGTCACAGATATTTCCACTGAATTATATTTACTAAGTCCTTCTGGCATAAATCATTATACCAATTTGCTTGATAAGTTAATATAGGTTTATGTATTAACCTAGCTTAAAACACTTGGTAGAAGTACTTCCTCTGCCTTTTATTTGAATAGTTGTTCACTTCAGGATTATGTCATTTAAAGCACATGTGGGAAGTGGGAAAAAATATATTTGTCTGCCACTTTCCATTAAAATTAATGTCTCTGCAAGAAAGGATCACTTATTCATTAAGCAATTACTAAGCAGTAATTCACCATAATTAATACTGAATAATTAATTAATTTGTTAAGCGGTTATTAAGTAATGAGAAGAAAATTTGGAGGTGCTAATTTATTTCAAATGCAAAGTATTATGTATGTGACGAAATAATTATGAACAAGTTATTTCACTTTTTCTAGCCTAATTCAAAAATATTTTTTGCAATGTCCACTTCATACTGCTCTTTGTATCTGTATTAAAAAGAGGTTTTCTTTTTTAATACTTAATTCTCATTTTCTAGATTCCCTGAATTCTCTTGAATTCCCTCAGTAAGCTGGAGGAAAGAATGAGGTCTCTGAAAACTATTACACACCATTTTCCATCAGATTTCTAGGAGAACTATGATCAAAAGTGGCTTGAAATAGCTTCTTTTTAGGCATGTTTGTGATTCTAACCCACTGCATTACAAATACCACAAGGATGAATATGGGAATGGCCAGCTGGGGAGGAAAATCCTGCACAATGAACAGTGCTGATTGAGGCTCTAAGTGGCTGAGTGACCTCTGAGATAGTATAATACTCATCTATATGACCACTCCAAGCTCCCATAATTGTATGAACAATATAAATTCAACTTACCTGAGACAACAAGTTTTGTGCCTGAGCCAAACACCTTGTTATAATAACCAATCACGGCGACTAAAGCCTTTACACTATCAGTGTGGCTCGGTTGTGTTTACATGGGTAAATAGTACTCTAAAGAAAATCAGATTGCTGTATAATCTATTTTTAGACCCTAGGAAAGTAAAAAAGGAGCAGCCACCTAAAATAAACTAAAGTTAAAAAAAAAGAAAAGGAAAAAAGGTGGAATTTTTGGAGGGCATATAAGTTGTTAAATGAACAGGATTCATCTCAATTAATTTGAGTCTTCTGAAAGCTTAGGTGGACAGATGGGGCAGATGGGGCACCTTAGCTCCATCTCTGCTTTATGGAAACAGGCAGCATCACCATAAGATTTATTTGATCAGATGTTGGCAAGATAATTTGCTCCTTATACATCCCCATAAGATCAGACTTAGAACTGGTGAACATTATGCAGAGATCTGAGGAGCATGAGACTGTTTACCAATATTTTTGTTACCAGTAACATGAAGCAAAACTGCATCGACTGGAATCAAAATTCCCACTAACAAGATACACCATTTCCAGCTGGTCAAAATTAGGCAAACTATTTTCATCTCAGATGCTTAACTGAGCCAAATTACAGGCAAGTATCACAGCACCTAGGGTGTACTTGAAGCAAAACACTTTGAATTGTAGTAATAACTGATAATAAGCAGTTTCTGCAAAAGCTAGGAAGAGAGAGCAGCTTTTCAACTCTGCCTATCTTCAAAGGTACAACTTACTGTTCTGGGCATATCTCAGATAACTCTCTCATTTTCATTCACAGTCAGATACAGTCCGAAAGAAAAATATTTTGCTATTCATAGAATATATGTAACACAGAGGTTGGACATACTATTTTCAGAGTGAATTAGGAGTATCACAAAGGTCAAATATGCATACTTAGAGATAAAAAACATTTTTCTTTTCTCCAAATGCTGTCTTTGCCATATTTAAATTCATTTTTACATAGAAAATCATAATGGGATAAGATATAGGTCTCTGCTGCAATAGCTGTTGTGTTTCCTCCATTTCATGCATAAATACAGACCAATTACATTGTGTTCTGCAAATGCTGTTTAAGGGGAAAATCCTGAAAAGTATTCAGAACAGCAGATTTAGAGAAAGTTAAAATAACAGAGCACTTCTTGCCAGCCAATATCTAGCTGTATTGAAAAGCATTTCAGAAGTAGTCAAGTTTTACATTTGGTACTTACTTGAAACTCTAAGTTCAGTTCCACTTCCAAATATTTTGATGTCAGCATCCCACAGTCTGATAATGCTTATCAGTATCTCCTGCACTGAACTTTTCTTCCATAGGCTACAGAAAAAATCTCTCTGATTTAGAGGCTGGTGATAAATCTGACTGAGCGCTATAGCTGAATTTTCAACATTGACTAGAGTGCCGTTTCTAGAAATACCTTAATTTTTGTAGCAAGTAAAAAGTTCTGAAAATTTTTGGCCAGAGGCATGGATAGACAACGTTTTAAATTCCTCTGTAACTCTCCTCAGAAATTTGAAATTTGCCTTAATTATAGCCACCTTGATAATGTAATGTAGTTTCTGAGTAACATACTGTAGGCATTGCTATCTATATGCTTTATACTGAAAACAGCATTCATCCTTTCAATTGCACAGCTTCACCACAATTAAAAATAACACAAAAGCAAACCAGTTGCTTTCAATAGGGCCAGGAACTAGACATTCATTACATTCTGGGAATTTTTCTTCCCAATCAATTTAGACCAGACCACTTCTGGCAGTAAGAAATTTTTTATTTCTCACATGCTGTTCTGGGAGTTAGCTTTCAAGAAGTTTACTTTTGTTTCCTAGAACAGGATGAAACCATCCCAATATTTAAATCTACCTACCCAATTGGGACACCATGCACAGTTTACAAACAAAATGTGATTTATCAGGGAGAAATTAATTTTCCTCACAGTGTTTTATTCTTGATTATCTGAGAACCTGAATGATTCTGTGAAAATAAATTCAATGATAATGGTACTTACCAGAGACAATTAGCTTTGTTCCTGTGCCAAAGTATTTAATCCAGGTGCTCCACACTATGTTTTGACTTTGCAATAAGCAGGCATGCTCTCTTGATATACCATCGATGAAGAAGATCCCAATTTTTCAATCATTCATGGGAGTCTGCATGAAGACCTCATCCTTGGCTGCTGGGAGGTTGTTGGGAATTTCAGCTGGATGTTCAGCCAATAGCTGATGTCCTTCAGAGAAAATCTCTTTTCTGAAGTGTTACAAATTTGTTAGATAACCCTTCCACTTAATGTCTTAGAATTAGATTATGGTTTTTCTTTGATTTTAGGCAGCAAATAAGAACACAGAGTTCTGCATGTAAAAAAACCACGTACCTTCAGGTGAAAATCCTGCCCTTTACTAAAAGAGTACACCTGCAATTACATGACCTCAAGTACTACTTACATGGAGTTCATTTTTCATTGTCTGAACACAGAAGGGGGAAAGGAGGGAGAGCCAAAAGAATTGTGAAGATGTCTGTGTGCTGCATGTTGCATTTTCTTGCCCCAAGTACGTGGTTATTGTCTGCCTACCTCTTGGAATCACTCCAGGCTTTGCTACAGCAGCTCACTGGCAGCTTTTTATATAATAACTGGTAGGAGAAGGAGGCTTTGCCTTGCACAGGTTTTCTTATAAAGCAGCCCAAGATAACATCAGAGGAGTCACTACCCCGTGACTGTCAATCAAACAGCCTGCACACTTAGTTTGGCGTAAAAAATAAACTGAGTTAGAGTACTTCTGGGATCTCTTGTAGCATACTGACTGCAAAATTCTGTTGAGAAGTTATTATTTGTGGCAAAAGGGAGGAACTAGTGGGTGAAGGTCTTTCAGCTGAAGTAGATATAAAAAAACCCAGTGGTCTAATTTGACATCTTCTGGACAGAAACATCCTAATCACAACCACAAATTAAGGGCAGGAGTGATATAGACAGAATGATGCTGGCTGGTGTTTTTTCCTGCCATGACCTTGGACATGCAGTGAAGGAAGCCACCTATCTCAGTTCTGGACAGCAAGGGTTAATTTTTACAGTAGACAGGAGAGTGCATGGCTAGGACACACAAGTTATTCTACATCACCTCACCTAATTGCTGGATGTGGGGCAAGGGAGTCTGTTCTGGGGGAGAAGGGGTTCCTTCTGGTCAGGTACATGTGTTAGAGGGTAATGCTGGTTCCAGGCTGGAGGGAGAAGTCAGCTAATGCCAATTTCAAGCAGTCATGTGGGAATTGTATTGTATGTTGCACACTTCATTATTAACATTGTTCCTGTTATTATTTGCTTTCTTATCTTATTGCTGTTTCCAGTAAATTGTTCTTACCTCAACCCATGATTTTCTCCTTCTGTGTCTTCAATTCTCCTCTCCAGCCCTCCACAAGGGAGTAGGGGAGCAAGCAAGTATAACATGGTTTGAAGAGTTTCAGTGGGAGCACCACACTGGGGAATACCATTCCTAAACCACAACAGACTTACTTGGTGCCCAAATGGAGTATAAAAGTTTGAGATAACAACAGACCTATCCAGACCTGGTTGAAAACAAATTTGATCCAGGCATTCATTATATTAAGCATGGAGCACCGGTTACAATTTTGCTTGTTCTGTTCTAACCCTATCTATACATATTCCTGTATGTGCACCTTGCAGTGCTCTTTTTCAGGGGGAAGGATCAGGGTTTCTTTGTTGAATATTGGGGGATATTAGCTAGTGACATGACAGCATAGAGGTCAGTGAGGGACATTGGGATGTGTATTCAGTGTTGCTCTCCTTCACTTACCTTGGGCACAATTTTTTTGGGTCTATTAATAATCATAGCCAGTTTGTGGAAGGAACAGGAGAGGATGATTTTCCCAAGATTTTTGCCCCCTTTTCTTGCTTCAGGCCTGTTACAACAGCTTTTGAGGATTTTTAATTTCTCTTGGGTGTTAAAGAAAGTATGTTACTGTTGCAAAATCTGCCAGGTCCCCTCAGTGTGGCCCATGCCACACAGTGTGGCTTAGAGTCGGGACAGAGATTTATAGGGAGGTTATTCAGAGATCTAACTTGAGGGTGGATAGTCACGAGTGCCATGAAATGTAGGAGAAAATGGAACAGCTTTTGAAGGATTATTCTGCTTCAGTATTTTGGAAGTTCACCCCTGAACCTCTGCAGGACCCTGGCAGAGGTGTAACTTACTGCAATGTGCCCTGCCTAGTCTTTACTGGACACAGTTCAATACCAGCAAATGCCCTCAGGAGGAAGAGGAGGAAAACAGACCAACAGGCACTGTAGCCGCTCAAACTGCAGCTGAATGAGAGGAACAACCCGTTCTAGCACAGAAGAATAAATCCAAGACAAAATCAGTTTGTTTAGTGAGGGATGAAGAATAGGGCCCTCACAACAGGAGGAAGAGGCAAGGCCAGAGATAAACACCTAATCCCTACCCCAGGTGAGCTGTGAGATATGTGAAAAGATTTCAGCTGCCAGTCAGGAAAGCCCTGGTGAACCTGCCTGCTCTGATGCTGGGAAATCGTGCCCCACAATGTGAAAGTAGATGGTAGTGAAGCCAAGCATCTGAGATCCTTGCTCCAGGACCTGGGCATTGGCAAGGGGATTGGGAAGAGGACAGAAACTTTCAGCCTCTGGAGGCAACTCCTTTCAAGCAGAAGGGAAAGGATTCTTTCATTCTCTCAAAGATGATCCAGTAGGGTACCCAAGTAAGTGGAATGCCATGGAAAAAGGTATCCAGTACCTGGGAAAATTAGCTGTGCTGAAGGTAATCTGTAGGGATTCAAATAACAAGCAGACCCTTGTCCAGTGTACACACTGTATGTGGCAGAAGTTTGTATGGAGCTTGCTATCCCTTGCAAGCCCTTTGGCATCCTTTGCATTGATGTCAATGAAAGAAGAAGGAACACTGCTTCAGGTGATTGCTTGACTCCGACAATATGCTCATCTTTTTCCTCCCTACCAGCCTGTGCCTCGGCTGTGGAAACACTGCCCAAGATTCCGGACAGACTCAAAAGATTCAAGCTTAT